ATGTATATACATCTACATTTATGTCCCTGCATCGTTGCGTTAACACATTTAAAGCAAAAAGAGTATCTCGTGTTCACAATTCATTTCGATATCCGAATTGAGTGTCACTCATCTGGAACTCACACTTCTTGTAAATTCGTGTATGATTAATTTTGAGAAAAAAGGAAAAAAGAGATTAAATCTTTGTAAATCTTTTACAACAATCCTTAAAAGGGCTACATCAAATAACACGAACGTTTTTGGAATAATAATTCCATCATTAGGTTAAAAATGCAGTTACCAGCTAAAGTCCGTTTGAAGAGGTTTACTCTCCGGACGCTGGAACTCACTTAAAGCATGGGTGTATGTTACCTAAAGTAAAATTTAATTAAATATTTAACATCAAATATTAATAACAACATTATGTAAAATATTTGTTAACCTTATATATTTTAAAGGGTTTTCACCCTAATATTTTGGTGGCTCAGGCATGTTAATTTGCATTTTTAACCTGATGATGGAATTATTATCCCGAAAACGTTCGTTTTATTTGATGTAGCCTTTTTAAGGGTTTTTTAAATATACCCATTTACAAAGATTTAACCTCTTTGATACGTGGTATACAGCCAGCTGCAGGAATTATTTTCTTTGTGGATTTTAATTCTGAGAAAAGTTTTAAGGACATGAGACATCAAGCTTAATATTCGATAATCGTCGCATTGTGAGGAATTCGATCTTTTTGGTAACGCAACGAACGTTGATTTTAGCCAGTCTGTTGGTATTTTATTTGTGTCATATATCTTATTGAATAATGCTGTTACTAAGTTTAGCCTTTAACTTTCGTTATCTGCAATTAGTTTTAGTATTTCGACATTGACATTGTCTGGACCGGTGGCTTTTTCATCTTGCTGAGATTTTACTGCGTAAATCACTTCTTCATTGGCTGTTTCTAGGCCTTTTTCATTTATTCGAATATCTGTGGATGGCAAAGAACAAGGTCTATCGTCGTCAAAAAGAGTTTGTATGTATTCTTTCCATCTCTCTAGTTTATCTTCTGTATCCATAATTATTTCGTTATTATCATTTTTTAATATTGTTGCTTATCTCTTTTTGTGTCTACCTGTCATTTCTTTTCCTTTTTTTTATGAATATTTAAGGTGTCGCATTTTCCTGAAGTTGTACGATTTCTAGGCATTTTGTTGACATCCAGTTTTCTTTCGCCTCCTTGCACTTTTTTCTAATGATTTCATTGATTCGCTTGTATTCTATTGGTCTTGTTTTATGTTTTCGTCTTACGTCTATGAGGTCCATGATCTCTTGCGTGATCTATTCTTGTTTTTTGTTGTGTTTTATGAACCTGATGTCTTCTTCTTGTATCTTTGTAATTTTTGTTTTTAGAGCAGTCCATGTCACTCCAATGTCTATCTGTACCAAGTTTTCGATCGTTTTTATTTCTTCCTCAAGCTTGATACTTATTTCTTTTTTCTGTTCAGGGTTCTTCAGTTGTGAGATGTCTATTTTTCTTGTCACTGTTTTCTTTTTGACTTTGAGAAATATTTTTAATCTAAAGTCCATTATAACTGGATTGCGATCGCTATGTATATCAGCTTCAGGGTATGTTTTTGTAGATTGTATGTACTTCTTAAAGGTGTTATTCAGCAAAATGTAGTCAATTTGATTTCCAACAATTCTGTCTTTTCTGACTGCAGGTGATTTCCATGTGTATAGCCTTCTAGGATGTTGTTTGAAGAAGGTATTGGCTATTAACAGATTGTTTTCTATGCAGAATTGTACAAGTCTATCTCCTCTATTATTCCTGGTACCTAGACCGTATACCCCTATGGGGTCTCGTTCAGCACCAAGACCAATTTTAGTGTTGAAGTCACCCATGATCATCGTTACCTCATCTCTTTTTGTCAGTCGCATTATTTCATCTATGTCGTTATAAAATTTTTCGATTTCTTCATCTTACCTGTCACTTGTTGGACTATAGATCTGAATAATATATAGTTTTCTGTGAGTTGTTCGTAATTTCAACATTGCTACTCTATCATTTAGAGGGATGAAGTCTGTGACTGATTGAGCAATTTTGTTCGACACTAATATAGCAGTTCCATATTGATGTTCTGGGTCATTTCTACCTGAATAATATATGTATCCATTGTTTGTTTTTTGTACTCCTGAACCACGCCATCTTACTTCACTCATCCCCAAGATGTCTATTTTCAGTCTTATCATCTCGGCTTCAGTGTTTGCCAGTTTCCAGGATATAACTAAGCTGCATACGTTCCAGGTGGCAATGCGTACTATTCGGTCGTATATTTGTATTCTCTGTCCACTTTGTTGGGTAGTTGACGGGGGGATTCTTCGCACCCTCTCCCCATTTAAGAGGTGCTCTGGACTGAGGGCCATTTTCTTCTTCTCGTCTGCCATTTAGATTTGTGAAAAATATAATGGGGTGGCTGTCCCGTTGCCTTCCCCATCGCAGTTCCACTATCATTTAAACTGCTTCAGTCATGCTTGTTTTAATCCAGTTTCAAACCGGTCCAGGATCATTACCTCTACGTCTTAAACTGGTACTGATGATCGCTGCTGCCCTTCACCAGGAAGGGATAGGAAGTAGGAAACTAGATTTTTCCTCAGTAAGGAACTAAGAGCAAAGCATGGTTCGTGTGGGCAGGGACGCTTCCCTAAAGTAGACCTATTCTCCACCAGAATCATAGAAAAGTGTCTACCTGCTACCCTCTTACCTCTACTTTGGGAAAATTTGGTAGACGATCTTAAAAACCTGGCCACAAAAAAATTTTCTGTCTAGGATACGCTGACGATATTTCAATCATCGTCAGGGGTAAATTCGTCCAGGTTGTATCTGGGAGAATGCAAGTAGCCCTAAATATAGTTGATAACTGGTGCAAACAAGAAAGAGTGACAGTAATGCTCGAAAAATACAAATCATAAACTCCACAAAAAAGACAGCATTAGAAGGCCGAAAATCACCAGTGGTGAGAGGAACAAACTAGGAGACCATAGCAAGGTTACAGTAACCTAGGTGTCAAGGCACGAGAGTCATAAGTGCAATGAAAAAGCAAATTCAGTGACCAAACAAGGCTCATTAATGCCAGTTATTGGATCAAAACGCTTCTGTGGCGTTGCAAAAGCAGTAACAAGAATGGCTACAAGAAAGGGAGTAGCATACCAACCTCTGGAATGGTGGAGAATCTCATAAGGACAAAGACAGGCAAAACAGTTCATTATAGAACATTCACCAACATTTACAGCAGTCCTATAAGCAATGACAGAATAACAATCAAAGGCATAGTAGGTTTATTAATATGGCATTGTAAGCTAACTAGGTAGATAAAGCTGATAGGATTGACAGATCATAATCTATGCAGATTCTCTTCATAGCTTCAAAAGACTACATGGAAGGTTCAGTTTTTAAGCTAATAGATCTTTTAAAAAAGGTCAGGCTAGAGAATGTAATCCAGGATTAGAGGACCACAATAGATCGATCTGAAAAGGTCGCAGTGGCACAGGCCTAATGCTACATAACTAAATATATCTATCTATTCCAGGCATGCATGAGATATGCCCCAGAAATAGTTAATTCTTCAAAAGCATAATATTTATACTCGCTAATGTCTCCAAGATCTTCTTGCACTAGACCAGAATTTAGTTACCTAAAATAAAATTTCATGGGCACCCTAAGGGATAAGTTTTCCACCCCAAATATTTTAAAATTTTTTGGACTAATTTTTAATTATTATGTTTTTTATGATGTATTGAACAATACAACTGTTAATTTTCGCCCTTCTATCACTAATCCAAATGTTTTAATAGCCATATTAGTTATTTAATAATTGTAACTCTGGTCGATAATTGATCAATTATCACTAGATCGGTATATAGATAGTAGATAGGTATCGCTGCCAAGTAGTATTTTCAGTTTTTTTTTTTGGTTTTTTTTCTGGTAATTTTTTACATATTATTTAATTTTAAGGCGGTACGAAGTTTGCCGGGTCAGCTAATATATATATATATATATATATATATATATATATATATATATATATAACTTAGAGCTAAGATTAATATTATTACTAAAATTAATATTAAAATCACCAGTCTTTCGGGTTGAACCGCGTCGTACTCCATTTTGCCAAGCTTTCGGCATCCTCTTTGATGCCTTCCTCAGGGCTTCCGAGGTCTCAGTCTCCCGAGCCCCCAGACACTACTGCACTGTTCACTATTCACTGCACGATCACTACTACCAAGTGCAGTGAATAGTGAACAGTGCAGTAGTGTCTGGGGGCTCGGGAGACTGAGACCTCGGAAGCCCTGAGGAAGGCATCAAAGAGGATGCCGAAAGCTTGGCAAAATGGATTACGACGCGGTTCAACCCGGAAGACTGGTGAGTTTAATATTAATTTTAGTAATAATATTAATCTTAGCTCTAAGTTTTATTGTACTAACCGCGGAAATCTTTCCGAATATATATATATATATATATATATATATATATATATATATATATATTTATATATACATATATATACATATATATATATATATACATAAATATACATATATATATATATATATATATACATATATATATATATATATATATTATATATATATATATATATATATAATATATGTATATATATATATATATATATATAGATTATATTTGAATAGTAATTCCATAATTGTTATTAGGAAAATACTGAATGTAGAGAAGTGCAAAGTCTCTTATTAAACCCGCTATGTTTAAGCTATCTATCATATTTATCATGAATATTTTTACTCTTCAGAAAGCATATTTTTACATTTTTAAAAAATTTGTATGGTAATGACACTCACGATTATGTACACATGTATATAATTCTTATCACTTTTAGGCATACATATGATCACCTTCCTGATAATATAATATGTAGTTAGAGGCAAGAACGAAGCTTTTTGCGCCACTTACAGCTCGCCCATGCACTGACACTATTCAAGATCCAACTACTACGATGGCGCGGTATATTTTTTTACTTTTATTCCTTGTTCCAAATGGAGTTTTGTGTGACAAGGGATTTAATTTTGATATCCCACCAGACTTTCACCAGAAAATGATGCATTTTAAACAACAAGCTATCGAAGTTCTTGATACCGCTGGAGGAGGAACTCAATGTGCTAAAGACTTAAAGGAAGTAATCAATGATATGTATGCAATGAAAAAATGGGCGATAGAAAGTAAGTTTTTTTTTATATCCAATTATCATCATCATTTTGGCTTTACAACCCTGTGTGGGTCCTAGCCTCCCCAAGAATTCTCTTCCAGTCGTCCCTATCCATCTCATATATTATATCCAATTATAGCACTATTTAAAATGAGATTCTAACTTTTAATAATGTATATAAAGCCTAAGACCTAGTGCTGGTTATATATGTCCTTTAATTTCTTTCAGTTTTTGGTATTCTGGAAGTGTAATGCAAGTTTTCAATATTCTTTGCACATAGTTGATAAGTTAATCTATCTGGTGGTTGTCCTCAGTTTTTGGTAGTTTATTTATCTATTGTTTTCCTTTTTCCTTACTATCATACTTGAAATCGTGTCTTTGTCTTTCTGTTTTTTATCACATTTTAAGTCTTTTTCTTGAAAAAACATCTCTTAATGTATGAAATAATCTCCTTTTTATATATTTATATATTACGTTTAAGAATTCTGTCGGGTGTTTCAATACTCCATTGTATCGTTTGATTATTACTTACAATTTGAATTTCTACCCATTAATTTCATTTTTTATATCTGTAAATAGCGATATTTCCAATTTAATTACCTTCAAGTAATTTTTTAAATTTTACTCTGGACGCCAGGGTTAGGGTGTAGTATACACTTTTATGTTACCTTGGTACCTTGACGTTTTTTATGTTTTTTGGTCATAGATTCAATTTTTCGAGGGTACCAGTATGAAATCCCGTCAGAAAATTTGTTATTATCAATTTAATTGTTTAAATGATTGTATCTCTTAAACTATTAGAGTTATTTAATTGTATCAAAATTAAATATGAAAAAATGAACAAAATTGTCTTTTGTATTGAGCTTTTTCCAAGTATAACTCATCTTTCATGCGTGCGATTAACTTTCAAAACACCCTCATTTTAAAGGTAATTCCTTTAGCTTAAAAAAAAACTTTTCAAAATTACTTTACATTTATTAATAAAAGTGCATACTTAACTAACCCCCACCCTCACCCCCCAGACTTACTTCTTTTTGTTAATTATGATCACCAAATATTTAAAAATGTTATATCTTCAGAACTGGACTTCATTTTTGCCAACGTTTTTTAAATAAAACGTTTGGTATTTCTTTCGATTAATTTTAGTTTTCTTACACTTTATATTTTTTATATTTTATTAAATATTTTTTAAATTATAATATAATGTTGGGTTTTGTAACCAAAATGTATATCTAATATAATATTGTACGATAATACCTACTTTTGTACTAGGAACAATAACAACGCCCAATTATTATAACAATACAGCTCTACAATATACACAATAGATCAACAGGAATTTCTGACATTACTTAAAAGAACGACGATATTTTAAGTATCTTCTAAAGAAGTGCTAAAACTTCCTGCCATCAATATATATATATATATATATATATATATATATATATATATATATATATATATTATATATAAGCGAGGTTCCTACAGCCTCTGCCGTTTCTCGCATTTCGACCGCCATCGTTTTCTGTCCATCCATTCGTCTTCTCTGATGGCTCTATCTCTCATTATGTGCCGTACATTTTCTTCCCAGGCAACTGAAGGCCTTCCCCTTCTTCTTCTTTGTTGTGGTATGTAATTTAAAGCTTTCTTTGGCCATCTATCTTCATTCATTCGTTTCACGTGACCATACCACACTAGTTGTCTCGTTTCAATTCTATCTACACTGGAATATACAGTATTTGTCCTCCTTCTAATATCTTCATTCCTGATGTGATCTTTTTTGGATATACCACACGCTCTCCTTAGAAAATCCATTTCTACTACTTCTATTCTTTTTCTATCCTTCTGCGTTATCTGCCAAACCTCTGCCCCATAAGTCATAATAGGCTCTACCAAGGTTCGATAGATTGTCAATTTCGTTTCTTGTCTAATACCTTTAGACCAAAGTAGATAGTTTAGAATGTTTACCACTTTTTTTCCCTGCTGTGTTCTGTTTTCGATGTCTCTTTTGGTAGTGCCTTCTTTAGATATCATAGATCCGAGATATTTATATTCATTGCATGTTTTTGTGTTTCTAATTTCTAACTCTGGATCTTCTTCACCATCTCCTATTTTAAGATACTCTGTCTTTGCCATATTCATATTGAGGCCCCATTTTTCAAATTCTTTCTTTAGTTTTCTAAACATGTAGTCCATGTCTTCCTCGTCATTCGCTACGACTACCTGATCATCTGCGAAAAATAAAGCTGTTAGACATTCACCACCGCCTATGTCTATTCCCATTCCAGATACTTGTTTTCTCCACTGCTCTAGCGATGATTGAATATATATTTTAAACAGGGTCGGAGACAGACAACATCCTTGTTAAGCCCCTTGGTTATTGGAAATGATTCAGATATAAAGTTTCCTTCTTTAACGACACTTCCTGCATTTTTGTATATATTTGCGATAGCATCCACATACTCTCTACTGAGACCTACTTTCGTCAATGTATAAAATAGTTTTTTCAAAGGTACCGTATCATATGCCTTCTCTAAATCTACAAACAATAGGTGGGTAGATAGATTCCTTGCCTTCCGTTTTTCGATTACCTGCTGCAGAACGAATATATTATTAATGCACGATCTTCCTGCCCGAAATCCCCTTTGTTCCTCTATGTCTTCATATTCTGATTCAATTCGTTTTTTTTATTATTCGACCGTACAACCTCCCAACTGAGCTAGTAACAGTCCTCTATAATTAGAGCAATTGCGTTTATCCCCTTTTTTATATATTGAGCTGATGTATCCAACATTCCAATCATCAGGGATATTTTGTCCTTTTAAGCATTTATTAAATAGTTTAACCATCATCTCGTGTAATATTTTTGGTCCATACTTTACCAACTCAATTGGGATGTCTCCAGGTCCTGCTGCTTTACCGTTTTTCGATCTTTTGAGGGCATCGCTTAACTCTCCGGTTGTTATCTCAATTATTTGTGTATGTTCAGATATTTCTTCCATTTCGATATCTTGGAATTTACGTCTATCCTCTGTCAATAAGACCTCATAATGCTGTTTCCACTGTTTCAGATCTATTAATTTTAAGTTAGATTTTTCCTTTCCTTCCCTCCGGAGAGACTGTATCACCTTCCACGCTTGCCCAACTCTTGTTCCGCCCATATACCTATCCACCTCTGCACATCTTCGATCCCACATCTCATTTTTACTTTTCACTACTTCTCTTTTTACATCTCGATTTAATTTCGTATATACCTTGTGATCTTCCTCCTTTCTCGTTGACATCCATTTCTGATAAGCAGTTTTCTTCTTGTTTACTAACGTTTGCATATTTTCCGACCACCATTCTTGATTTTTTGTTTCATGTTGTCTTTATACCCCAAAGCTTCACTTGCAGCCTCATGAATGTACTTTTTAAGTTGTTGGTATAATTCTTCCGCTGTTATATTTTCTCGATTCACATTTTGTAATTTTGTGGCCAGTCGTAATTTGTAAAGAAAATATATATATATATATATATATATATATTTTCTTTACAAATATATATATATATATATATATATATATATATATATATATATATATATATATATATATATATATATAGGGTATACAAAAAAGATCATTCAGGTGTGGATGGCTTTATGAGGTAAAAAAACTTCTTTATCGGTTGTGCTGCAGCCAGTTGGCTTATTATACATCTCCATCTCTTCATGATAGCTATTCTAGAATTCTATAACCCTATACTAGCGTGTATCTGTCTAGTTTGTAGATGGTTCAGCGACAAGATACTGGCATTCTAAGCCAGAGCGCAAGACTTCGATTCTTGGCACCAACAATGATATTTTCACTTCGAAAAAATGATATGTGTCGTTCACCCTGCTTCGGAGGTCACGTAAAGCTGTCGGTCCCTCTAGCTAATTGAAACAGGCTTAAAGATGCAACTCGCGTCGGAATGTGTCCGAAAGGTTCTCCTCAGCAAAAATGCCATACGACAGTATTATTATCCAGATTTAGCCATACGGTTCACACTCCCTCTAAGGGGAAAATTGACTCATCCCAGATATCTACAATATTAATAGGATTGAGCTCTGGTGTAATTCTTTCCCTGTTATCGAGCTCTAGGTGACTTGGTACGTTGGAGCTTCTCCCAAAAATTTTTGTACGCATCTGGACGTCGATAGTAGCATAGCTTTTTGCATGATTTTATACATGTGTTTACTTGCTGTTTCATGTTTTTTAGGAGGTTTTTTGGAATAATACCAGTAGTAGATAGTATAATAGGTACTGTTTGGGTACTTTTATTCTTCACTATCTCCTAATTTGTATTTTAAGATCTCTATACTTGGTGATCTTTTCGTTGTATTTAACCCGTAGATTATTGTTGTTAGGTATCGCCACATCTATTAGTGTTGTTTGTCTAGCAAGTTTAATAACTAGTATAAGATACGATCTATTATATACCACTTGTTGGTCTGGTCAGTATAGTTTGTAGTTGTTGTTTTCAAGCTTCTGTCAGGGACGTATTGATAATAAGGTACATGATCGGTTTGGAGAAGTCCCAGTTTGTTGACTAATTCCTGGTGAATAATCTTTCCTACTGAGTCATGGCGTTCTTTATAATCACTACTTACAAACTATCATCAGAAATAACGAAAGTTACTGAACCACTAATACTAGAACAAGAAGTAATATATGCCATTAACAATATAAAATTACTTGTGCTTCGTAGACTTTGGGAAGACATTTGATAGATAACATAAAGCACTTGAAACTTTTTAAAAAGTAAACGTCTAGACAGTATTCTTCTTCTTCTTCTTGTAGGACATGGTCCTGTCTATTCCATCATTCCAGCTTTTGCGATAATGATGTCCAGCTGTCATACCACATCTTCGGAGTCTTCATAGTGTTCGTTTTGTATTAAGTTTATGTACTTTTGTCCATTTCACGATACTTTCTGGGTCCATTTATGGGTCGTGCTTATGTTCATTTCACCAAAATCTGGACTTCAGTTTCTAAGACTATAACTAAGACAAATTCCTCTTATGGTTTTCAATACTGTCATGTCTTTAGTTCTCATCAATATTTTTGTAAGCGATGTTTTATCTTTTATTTCCGCTGCATGTATTAGTACTGGCCTTACCATGTTATATATATATATATATATATATATATATATATATATATATATATATCCGAATTTTGCTTACTACGCTTATATATTTGTTTTTCCATACGATATGCCTCAAGTATTCCAATATTCTGGCTGCCTTGCTGACTTGTTTTTCACTTCTTCTGCAGTAAACCTATCATACGATACATCTATTCCAAATTAGTTAAAATTCATGACTTGTTTTATTATGTGTTCCGAATCATCAGTTTACATCTGATGGTGCTCTTGGCTATAGCCATTGACTAGGTCTATTCGTGGGATATTTACACATTTAAATTGCGTGCTGTTTTATTAAATCTGTAAAGTAGGCGCTGAAGGTCAACTTTATTTTATATCATGATTACTGCAACATACGCATAGCAGAGGATACCCAAATCTCGTTCTCCCATTTTGTAGACAATGTTGCTTTTATTTATGCTTTCTATTATCTTATCATGTTAAAGAGATTCGGACTGAGGCTATCCCCTGCCTGATTCCTGCCGATACGTTTATTTTTTTGGTCAGTCGTGATATAAAAACTCTTCTATATTGAAATCAAACGACTAAGATAACTTACCATCAGATCTTGAGGAGGTTAACAACCCATAGCGCTTTTATACTTTTATTTTTACAAAATATTTTTTGATAACATAGTGCGTGTCATAATGCTAGGCGACTATCGGTTCAGGAAAAACGAGTGGGAAAGAAAGTAAAAGGGAAATTTCCACAGATATACTGACACAATGGAGAAACTACTGCATACTTCGCGAATGTAGTAGGTATTGGCAATCCAGAATCAAGGAGAGCCAGCGTCAAAAAAGTAGTAGGTATCTTGTAAAGATATCAACATTCATAACCACTACAGATATTCTAAAATATACTTAATGAAAGATTTGATAAAAATAAGGAAATCATAAATTATCATGGATTAGGTGAAAAGTTCCTGCATGACGTGGTTACTAAATATTTTCAAATATAATTCTAAATTTGACGTTCATATATATTACTTATGTTATTTTTATTCAAAGTAATGAAAATATATGCTAGTTTTATCTTTGTCAACTTAATTTAGCTCAAACGAATAGCAAAATATAAAAATATTAAATTATTGTGTTAACAAAAAACACTACCTACTTTGGTTATTTAGAATTAATTCTACAAAAAAATAATACGATGAGTTTAAGATTAAAAATAAGAATGTATTTTTAGCAGTATCGATGTAATTATTCTTCTTTTTTTTTCATCAACTATGCTCTTTTGTTGTTCTTTTTATAACTTTTTCAATTACTGTTGTGGTAGTATTATTTTCTCTCTCATGTTTTACCGATTTACTTTACTTGCATTTTCACTTTCGTAGTTTAATATGGTTCAACATAAAAAGCTTGTAGATATATTAAAAAACAAAAATATTGATAGTCGTGATATGATAATTATATCTAATTTATATTGGAATCAAACTGCCAAAGCAAGAGTTGACAACCAGAACACCCGAGATATTAAAATACAGAGAAGAATCTGCCAGGGTTGCGTGCTGTTCCTACTACACTTCAATGTCTACAGTGAAGCGGTATATAAAGAAGAGCTCTCAGATTTAACAGAAAGTATATCTCTATCAAGAAAATCTGGAAGATGAAGTTAAAGATGCCGTTGAAAAACTAGCCAGAAACAAATCACCCGGAATCGATAATCTCCCAGCTGAACTATATAAAGAAGGTGGTCATAATACCATAATGGCATTACAGAAGCTTATAAAAGAAATATGGACAGAGAAGTCATTCTCCAATGATTGGAATAATGGAATACTTTGCACCATACACAAAAAAGGAGATATCTTTGAATGCTTTAACCACAGAGGAATTACGCTTCTAAATGCAGCATATAAAATATATTCCACAATACTATGGCATCGTATAGCACCATATGCAGAACAGATAGTAGGAAAATATCAGACTGGTTTCAGAGGTGGTAAATCAACCACCTCATCAACCAAAACATCAGACTGCAACCATGAAACAAATTAAAAAAAAAACACTGGAATATGGCATTGATACTCATCACATATTTTTAGACTACAAAGCAGCCTACGACTTTGTGAATGAAAGAGAAATGGTCAAAGCAATGAAAAAAGAGCTAAGAATACCAAATCAGTTGGTAAATTTATCAAAATTAACTTTGGAAAAGTTGAATGTATTATGTGCGAATTCAGGGCGAAGTCTCTGAACCTTTTAAAACAAATTACTGGCTGCGCCAGGGAAACCCTCGCTCCTGTATACTGTTCAATCTGGCTCTGGAAAAAGTAATACATATGTCACAAATTACAACCACTTCTTCAATATATAATAAATCAGTGTAAATCCTGGCCTATGCTGATGATATCAATATTGTTGGGAGAACGGAAAACGCTGTACGAGAGGCGTATGTATCATTAAAATAATCAGCTACAAAAATGGGTTTAATAATAAACACGAACAAAACAAAGTATATGATAGAAAACTGAAAACTGAATAGTCATATGTCGCCATGTTACCTAATCCAACGGTAACTTTAACATCTTAACATATTATAAGAAATACTGTAAACCAAATGTAAATAATTATTTGTTAACGGGTTTTTACCCATATATTTAGTGGCTACGTTCATGTACTCCTAGTAAGTATTAACCATACTTTGCATTAACCTTAATCAAAATTTCAACCTTATGTTCTTTTTAATTAAGTGGTTATATATTTTTTAGGACACTGATGATGGAATATAGATTCCGAAAACGTTTTGTCTAATTAGCCCGTTTGGGTTTTAAATATATACCTTTTACAAAGGTTTTTAATAAAAAATTTCACTTACTTATGTGTTCTTAGAAGTCTAGACATCCATTTTTATACATTCAAATAGTAACACACTTTCTTTGTACTGAAACTTGACCAATACCGACTATGTTTTTAGACGATTATATATTATAGAAATTTTGTAATTTGCTGATTAAACTTGTTTTTTAGTGTTAGACGCCATGGCAAAGTTTCCTAGTGGTATATTATCTGGAAACATCTTTGTGATGGGAGCATATGATCAATGTATAAATGTAAATATTTTTAATAAGACTGCAATTCACGGTGAATACTGCCCCGTCTTGTTACAACCTAAAAGTAAACAAGGAAAGATAACAGTGGCTAATGTAAGTAGTATGACAGATAGGTTCTTATACTAGTGTAAGTAAAAATAAAAGATTTTATATAAAGTTTATGTTTGTAAGTACGTATTTTTCAGGTCGATCATTCTAGCTTGGCCTTTAAGATCCGTTGAAGAAAGAGTGAAAAACTTATTGTTCAACAGAGACAGAGAAAGAATAGTTCTTTGAATATATAGCTCGTGTCACAATTATTTATAATGAATTTTGAAATTCATGAAAAAGGTTTTAAGCCAATTAGGCCGTTTGTTGCCTAATTTTGGTTGTCGAATGCAGCGGCTTAGTACACTAGGTGATCGAATGACGGCCACTTTTTAAATAGTTTTGCAAGAATTTCTTTAGGTCCACACGCTCAGTTATTTTTTATTCCATTTTATTTGCTTATTAACAAATTCCTTAGTCATGTATACTACTGAGTCCTGCACATTATACCTTCTAGGTAACTGATTTATATATTCACCCCCTATGTTCTTTTAATTCTTCTGAGAAGTGACATTTTGAAATGTGATTCTATAGAAGAATAGCATCACACAATACTAGAACGTCTCAGCAAGAATACTGAGATTATTAAAATCAAAAATAGAAAGCTGGATTACTTCGGACCTGTAATGAGAGATCCTAAATATAGATTGCTACAAAATATTATGCAAGAGCTAGCAGAAAAGAGAAAATAGTAGGCAAATGCAGTTCAGGACAAAGAAAGACTTCATGGTTGAAGAACTTGTGAGATTGGTATGGTATTAATACGAGCATGCTATTTCGTGTGGCAGTAAATAAACTTCCAATATCAAAAATTCTTAAATACAAAGAATATAACGAATAAAATAATCTACAAGGAGTCTCAAACTAAATACGAAAAATGATATGTCGGAAGAAAACTGGAGCATGGCAACAAAAGTGTAACATGATAAATTCACATCTAGGAGAACGAAGAAGCACAGAAAGTTGGAGAGTCTTAAAATCTTTACGACAAGATAAGAAGAGAGAATGATAAAAATAATAATGGATGACTGGGACCAATATTTTGAGAAACTCCACAGGAAAAATAGACCACCATTTAAAGACAGCAACGAAACACAAAATAAAAATATTTTAACTTCGCCCATACGAATAACAACGAAAGAAGTAGAAGATGTACGTAGATCTCTAAAAAATAACAAAGCACCTGATCCAGGTAACATCCCTGCAGAGTTGATTAAGCACGGCACAACCAAAATATACAAGTTTAGCCAAACTGTTCCAAAACTGCATTAATGGAATGACAACCCCAGAGGAGTGGAAGATATCATTCATATCCACTATATTCAAAAAATGCAGAAGGGATGAATGTGACAATTAAAGAGGAATTGACGTGACAAACTCGGTCAGTAGAATACACGGAAAAGTAATTAAAAACAGAATAGAAAGCGAATATAAAGACTTAGAGGCTGAGGAACAGGCAGGATTTAGGGCAGGTAGATCTACTGTTGACCATTGTTTTGCATTACACAGATTATTGAAAAGAAAATAGCCGTTAATCAAGAAGTACATTTATTGTATGTAGACCTACGAAAGGCTTATGATAGCGTACCACATTATATATTCTGGAAAGCGTTAGAGAAAACAAACATAAGCATGAATTTAATAAATGCGACGAAGGAACTGTACGCTAACTCAAAGGTAAAGGTTGAAAGTAATCTGTCAAGTGGATTCCAAATGAATAAAGGCCTTAAGCAGGGCTACTGTCTCTCCCCGACATTATTTAAAATTTATCTAGAACAGGCTCTAAAACTGCGGAAGCGCAAATGTAGAAATATGGAATGCCGATTAACAACCATATACACCGCCGCATATACACTTTGTCATTTACAGATGATCAACTACTGATACCACAGGATTATGAAGATATTGAGTATATAAGTCGAAAATTAATCGAGGAGTATAAAAAATGGGGACTTGAAATCAATATAAAAAAAAACCGAGCATATGTGTATCGGCAGGAATCAACAGGACCTCATATTGGAAGATGGAGAAGTTATCAAACATTGCAACACATATAAATATTTATGTATGATTATCACAAAAGAAGGCCACGTAGACTACACAATTGAGGAGAAAAACAACCCATCACAAAAGAAGGCAACGTAGACTACACAGTGGAGGAGAAAAACAACGAGCAAGAAAATAAATTTCCCTTCTCAATAGTATCGTTTGGGATCAATCAATCTCTAATAATAACAAGCACAAGATATATAATACAATAATTAAATGTATAATTACCTACAGTAGTGAAGTATGCAAATAAAGGAAAGATACAAGAGAAAACATATGGCAACGAAAATGGATTTCTGGAGAGCTCAGCTGGAAAATATAGACTAGAACAAGTAACGAACAACAGAATAAGAGAAATTCTTCTTCTTCTTCATGTACCATGTTCTTTCAGAATGTTGGTTAATATCATAGCTATCTCAATTTTATTCACTGCCACCCTAAATAGCATGCTTGTATCAACACCATACCAATCTCGCAAGTTCTTCACCCAAGAGGTTCTTCTTGAGACTTCTCATTACATGTCCGAAATACTAAAGCTTTCTCTGCTTAATGCTTGATGCTAAGAGAAATTATGAAAGTAAAACATACAATAGTAGAAGATATTGGTACTCAACAACTCAGATGGTACAGTCATGTACAGAGAATGTCTGAAGAACGTCTCCCAAAAAAAAAGTCAATGTGGACCTCTCACGGTAGAAAAAAAGAGAAATATCTCGCCTTAGTTGGAGAGAAGGCATCAAAAGAGAAATGAAAGACAGAGACATAGAAGAAGACTTATAGATGAATCGAGAGGAGTGGCAACTGCGTATCGGAAGATGTAGGAGAACGTTTTAAACCGATCTATATATAGTAAATAAACTTAAGATAACTATAATGATAAGCAATGTTATTAAATTCTTCTTGGCGATCAGCATGGTTCTTATACTTTGCTTGCAGCTATTCGAAATAATATGATTGTTGACGTACTAAATCACGTGAGTTGCAAAAAGCCATATTTCTGTTCACGTCTCATAACATGGCCAAGATATTCTAATTTACGCTCTTTGGTTGTATTAATATTCTTGCATCCCCTCATTGTACACAGTACCTCTAGATTAGTCACACGATCTATCTATGAAATTGTTAAGATGCGTCTGTAAAACCACATATCGAAGATCTGGAGCTTTCTTAAAAAAGCTTCAGAAAGTATCCAAGCCTCTACTCAGTACGATAACAAAGTGGTAAATTGTGACTTCTGAAGAGAGATTTTATTATTGTTCTTTTCTTGTGGCATTACAAAGTAACTACTATTTAAATGGGAATAAGCCACAAAAAGAAAAGAGAAGAAAAGAGAAGAGAAAAGAGAAGAAAAGAAAAGACTAAGAACACAAATATCAGAACAAATAATAAGCTATTTTGGACATTTTCGAAGAAATGGTCTTAAAAAACTTACAATCCAGGGAAAAGTAGAAGGCAAAAGAAATAGAGGTAGATCTCCCACACGATATACGGACCATATTGTTGCTATCATTGGCGCTCCATTTTCAGAATGTGCTAGAATGGCAGAAGATAGAAAAACGTGGAGGAACATTGGGAAATTTAGCTAATAGCTTCATGATATCACGATACCTGCATCAGGTTAACGACTAAGAAGAAGAAGCCACAATTAAAGGTAAAAATACGTTTATTGACGGTTCAATTTCCACTTCGGAATTTTGAGAACAATTTCCGAAGTGGAAATTGAAACGTGAATAAAAGTATTTTTACCTTTAATTGTGGCTTATTCTCATTTAAATAGTAATTAATTTAAGAGATTTTATCGTTACTAACGCGAATCTTGCTTTCCCTATACGTTGTTTTATTTCATTAGAGAGGTTCCATCGGCTGTTGGTTAACCAAAAGCCATGTATTTAATGTTTTACACTTACTGACTACTATGTAGTTTATTGTTTCATATTGAGATCCAGTCCATGTTCTCTACTTATATCTGATGTGAGCGACATTATTTTTTTGCAAACTATCTAAGCTATTCCCAAAAACTACTGCGTAGTTGACATATCTAATGTAGTTAAGACGCATTTCTTTGACTAATAGGCTTTTCTGTAGCTCTCCCAGTGCTTGCTCGAAGATATGTTCAGAGAATATGTTAAATAACACCGGGAACAGAATGCATCCTTGTTAATGGTTAGAATAATAGCTGATAATTCTCAAAGCGAAACAGTTTAATAGGTGCACTAAATAGTAAAAATAATCTAGATACATATACGCACTGGAACAAAATTTCTATCTATCTTCAGGTTTCTTGGATATCATTCAAGCCTTTTTAAAGTTTTTCATTCCTATTTTATTTCTGTTTTATTAACTACCTCCATTGCGTCTTTGAATTATAGATAGACGACGAACGTGGTAGAAGCACATCTTCATTAAACAAAACATATTGGTATTAAGTTAAGTAAAATGTACTGGCTGAACTAGAGTATATATTGAATAATAAACTGCAGCTTTACAAGATAATCCTTAAACTGATTTGGATTTATGAAATTCAGGCTAGAAACACAAACCTTGCAATTTTTAATGCTTTAATGCTAATTTAACATGTTTGATAACATAATGAAATTAAAATGTTAAATTTTCTGGAGGTTATACTAAATTGGTGCAGCATACATTGTAAATCATCTTCACTTTGAGAGAGTAGTATCCCGTCGTCTGCATAGCAGATTATTTTAAGTAGTTTTTCTCCCATTAGGTATCCTTTATTAGTTCAAACTTTTTTTATTATTTCATTCATAATCAGGTTTAACAATAGAGAACATATTTCTTTTTGTGTTCAGTAGAAGTGGTATTCTAAAAAGAGAAACGAGTGGATAAGGGAGAAAACAAAAGTGAGAGATGTTAAACAAGAAGTTGCAAAATTGAAATAAAGATTTGCCGGACACAATATAAGACAAAAAGAAGACCGATGGAACAAAATTCCTATAAGTCGGAGAGCGTGGGAATATAAACGAAGCAGAGGAAGGCCCCAACTGATCAGACAGAGAAGAATGGAAAATAATTGGGGAGGCTTATGTCCAAAGATGGACCGAAGAAGGCTAATTAGATAGATAGATAGATAGAAGTCGGGTTCTATTTGTTTTGAGAAGCTCTGCCAGTGTTCAATTTTTATTTGTCTAACTAAAGTATTCGTTTCATTTCTGATTTGTTTATAGTGGCTGTATGCCTGTTGTGTTTGTTGTGTTCTGTTTGGTAAAAAAGCTTTCTTCGTTTCTTCTCATTTTGTCTTCTTATACTCTCTAAACCATAGGTTTCCTTGTTTGATATGTTAATATTCGTTCTTCTTCTTCTAGTTCCATGACCGTTATCGATCGTTGGATATCATGTTGGCTACCATATTCGCTATCGTGACTTTATTGACAGCAGCTCTAAATAACGATGTAATATTCGTTACTTTCCTGTTTCAAAGTAATTCTGTTAGATTTCTGTGAGTCTGTTAGGCGTTAATTAGGTTATTTTTGAGTTTTCCCAGATTTCCTCGATGTTATCGCTTTCTAGTATTTCATTCACAGCAATCTTCTCTGATAGTCTTTTTCTGTATAAGTATTCCGTTGATTTCGTATTTAGTCCGGCGACTCTGATTTTTGTTTGCGTTGGCGCAGCTCTCTTGGGTGTGAAGTATTTCATGATGATTCGTATTTTACATAATACTAGGCTATGGTCGCTACCTACAACTGCTGAGTTGAGGCCTCTTGCGTCGATTATTTTTGATAGATGTATATCTCTGTTGGTTATAACATAATTTATCTTAGATCTTTGTCAATGGGTGTTATTGAATTTAAACAAAAACAATGTAACAAAAAACTTAATCATATCTAATTTATAGGCTAACATCGATATTGTTTATGTAGTCAATCGACTCGGACGTCGCAAACAGGAAATTTTTTTAACACTTTTCCGTTACGAGCTTGACGGATTGGACCTTGTCGCAGCTGCATAACGGGGAGGGTAGCTTACCCCACTTCTACATCATAAACGTTGTAGGTTAATTTCAGGAGGTCTCTATGTAATGTACGGTATAATTATATTGTTGAGCTTCCGACCTTTCATGGGTCCAATCACCCGATGACTGCAGCCATTTGTGCGGTTTGTATGGGATATCTTTTGGACCGCAGCCGACTTTTGAATACATATTTTATATAATTATGTATCGGAAGCGCCCTGTAGTTACACATCTTTTTATATACTTTGGTCAATAGATTGAGTCGGTGAAGGTATGGTGGCGGAATGTCGCTTATCACTGGTAGCCAATGGGTTGGTAGTGTGGATTTGATTACTGTAGCAATCCCTCTGACGGTTTTATTTAGCTAGACATCAATCTTTTGAACGTAAGCACTGTTGATTCATATTGGTGCGCAATATACAGCTATAGAATAAACAACAGCTAAGCCTAAAATGTATTTAAAAACGGCAACGTATCGATTAATCTACAGCGAGAAGTCTTCGATCAGTTTGTACTGTCAGTAATGACCAACGGTGCCAAAAAACTATTCCTAACAAAAACAATGGTAAAAACTAAGAATAGCACAAAGAAGGATAAACCGTTCAATTATGAATGGGAGTAACAATAAAAGACAAGATCACAAACAAAGACCTACCAAACAGAACCAGAGTTACAGATGTGGAGAGAGCTTCTAAATTGAGCTAGAGATAAACTGGCTACGTAGCAAGGGTCAAGGATGGAAGATGGATACGAGAATTAACGCAATGAAGATCAAGAACAGATAAACGAAACATAGGTAGACCATCTACAGGATTGCAAGATGATCTGCGAAATATGACGAAAAATTGGATTCATACTGCTCAAGACCATGCACTTTGGATACAAACAGGAAATGCCTAACCTGCAGTGAAGTTAAAGCTCGTTGATGATGATGATGAAGCCTAAACAACTGAGTCTAGATTCAATGCTCCACATGTTGTGGCGCAGAGCTTCTGAATGATTTTATTTCTGGTTTTTGGCTTCTCTACTGTGCTTAAATGTTCTCTAAAGCGTTCTACACAAAGTTACGCCTAAGTATTTTGGGTGTTTATTGTGGTTGAGTCATGTATAATCAAAGTAAACGTTAAGTCTTCTTAAAAGCCAAATAGTTGTTTAGGTGGAAGCAGGTTACTTTGGTTTTTAGAGGCGTTGGGTCGAAGTCTATATTTTTTGAAAGTATCTTTTTTCTAATTTTTAATTTTTTAAAATTTTTAATTCTAATTTTTTTCGAGACTTTTTCTTTAAATTCGTCTTAAACTAACCAAGTTGATATGAATTTTTATAAATTTTTAGCTGCTCTTTTAGCTATCAACACAAGTTTTAACTTTTCTGGCTGATTCTCTTTTCATTTGAGGTTGAATGTTCCGTTTCAACTTGTTTCATATCTTTATAGTTTTTTGAATATTCCTACTGCAGTTGCGTCTGTCGCTACCTCGTAATACGTTCATAAATTTAGAAAATACCATGAAAACTTGTATGCGAATATGGTAAATAAATAATAATTAATAAATCAAATTTTTATTGAGTTAATAAACCATTAATTAATTAAAAAATTAAACTGAAAACTTACCTTTACAAGACAAAAGGTTAATTTTAAGCAGTTACTGCTTCTGTTGCGTAAGATCAGATATGTTGCTAATAATTATCCTACCAGATGACCACTTAATATTTTGTTTTTTTTTTAATTACGACCACATTTTAAACTTAAGAACTCTAAAAAACACAACTCAAGATCAGAAGTCTCAAATTTTTCTTACGGACTGTACTTATGCGATGTGAAAACCACGAATGTATAATGCTACTGCGCTTTCAAAGGCCAAGCTGGAACTGTCGACTAGTAGTTATTTTAAGGATTTTTTCTCCATGGACAGTAATACAGGTAACCAAAACAGTAACCAAAATTTTATATTTCTATATTTTCTTAAATTTCAGGTTCTTGACTTCTTCAATTTGAAAACAAATTTTCAGAAAAATGTTCTCAACCAAACAATGAGACTACCTTTCGGAATATGCGTTCCATCGAGTTGCAGGGAAGAAACACTTCAAATCATATGGGATCATGCAGAAACAGTGTTTAAACCACCAGTCAGTTTGGAATTTCTGGATGGGCTCTGCACTAGTTTAGACAGAAGTCCTTCCCCGTTTCCTATTGACACCTATATTCAGTAAGTTTTTATTTGTTTTAAACCTACATTCATTTATTTTTCTTCCTCTTTCTCCTATTGCGTATTGGTGATTTAATTCGAAGCGACTATTACCACTTGTCCTCCTTTTATTCTGTATATACGTTGATTCCATTGGGCCACTAAATGAACGTGAAATACATGGAACAAAATTGCATGAAAATCTGGATTTAGGGTCTACTTACTCTCTACTTTACTTTTGAACGAATACCATGGCCAGCTTTTTATTTTTTTAGGGGTGAAAACTACTCCTATTAGAAAAAAATTGTATAATTGTAAATTAATGCGGGCAATTGATTCAAATTATCTTTGAATGAAGTGAGTGAATGTCAATTATTAATAAACAACATAATTTAATATTTCATCATAGTTTAACCGCTAAATCTCATAGAATAGTTATAATTAAAACAATGTCATAGCATACCTTGTCTCCACTGATTTGCATAGAAATTTGGATTGGGGCTATACTTACCCTTTATTTCAAATTTTGACCTGTCCCGTTGGTTACTTTTTTTATTTTTTAGGGGTGAAAACTACCCCTAGAAAAAATCCATTAATTGAGGCCGTGGATGTGAGGAGTCAATAGTCATTCTGCCTAAAAAGGGTACATAAGCCTACGTGCCCTTTTTAGGCAGAATGACTAGGTCCGCCATGTTTTCCCCTTTGCAATGGTATAAATTTCATGTATTTATCTTTAAAAATGAGGTAGGTAGAATTGTTTGAATATTAGGGCGCAGGATATTTTTTTAGACATGTTATTGTTTACATGTTCAAACCGTACTGGTGGGATAAAGAAATAGAGACGAAAATTAAAGATAAACGTCGGAAATACCAAACATTTTTAACAACAAAAACAGAAAATGATAAAACAATTTACAAAGAAGCACAAGCCAAAGTAAGAAAAAAGATAACTAAAAAAAAGAACAAATCATGGGAACAGAACTGCCAAAAGATCAACACCTACATAGGAGGTAGAAGAAGCACAGAGAGTTGGAGATTGATTAAAAGTATGAGAAATAATAAGAAAAAAGACGTTATATCACCAATAACAACAGAAAAATGGGAGGAATATTTCAAAAAAGTACTAACAGAACAAAGACCACAATTTGCTAACATGGAAGACAACACGATAGGTATACGTATAAATTCATCACTATTACAAATCAGTAAATCAGAGATGGAAGAAATAACTAAATCCCTGAAATCGGTACAGACAAACTCCAGGAACAGTTAAGAAAACTGTTTCAAGACTGCTTGAATGGGGCCGAATTACCAAAAGAATGGAAATTATCTATCATGTCAACTATCAACAAAAAGGGCAGCAAGGATCAGTGTGAAAATTACAGAGGAATTGCGGTAAACAGCACAATAAGTAGGATGTATGGGAAACTTATTAAGAACAAAATAGAAAATGAATATAGAGATTACGAAGCAGAGGGTCAAGCTGGTTTTAGAGCTGGGCGATCCACAGTAGACCACCTGTACTCTATTACGCAAGATATTGAAAAAAAAAACAGCCTTTAATAAATAAGTTTACCTGGTGTACGTAGACTTGCAAAAAGCATATGACAGTGTACCCCTAAGTAAACTATGGCCAGCCCTACAGCAAACCAACATTAAGCATGGTCTTATCAAAGCAGTCCAAAGTCTGTATAATGGAACGACTGCAAAAATTAAAACTGGATTAAGGATATCTGAAGGATTTAAGGTCACGAAAGGACTAAAGCAGGGTTGCTGTATTTCATCTACCCTTTTCAAAATTTATCTGGAACAAGCACTCAAGCTATGGAAAAGAAAATGTAATGGCATGGGAATCCAGTGTCCTATTTGATTGTAACGGATGTCCTCTATCGAACGATGTGCTCTCTTCGGTGCTCTTGCAGTAGTTTTAGGTAAACAACTGGGTGGTCAGCTAAAAGGTCGTTTGAGTAGAGCCATGCCATACAAGCAGAGCGATTCAGTTACTTGTGTTCTGAACACTGTCAATTCAATTTTTTCTTTTTGGGGATGAATCCTGTGATACAGTAGGTAAGCGTTGATCACCTCTACATCTATAAGGTGGTAAAAAAATACGATTATTCCATTTTCTGGTCTTCATATGAATGCGATACCGACCTAATAGTCTATTCATCAAATCAACACCTCCCATATGCCGATTATATTCTTTGATAATCTGTGGGCAATCGATTTCATCGTGAACTCTTTTTTTCTGTATCGCCGTCTAATTTTTTGGGACTGTACGCTATCATTTTTGGATGCAAATGGTTTCACGCCAACATAAGTCGACAAAAGTTGCACATATTTTGTATCGTTCCATAATACAGAGGTAATATCTATACCATATGCGTTACCAACAAATTCTTCTGAATAGCCACGGACAACTTTATTCTGTTGCAAATCTGCGTCGGTCGATAATTTGCAATTTGTTACTCTGTTTTTTCTCACTGTTCCCAAGCTGTATATTCCTCTACTTCGGAGATAGGTAACTTTTTTGCATCTTTTTTGGGGTCCCAAAATTAATATTCGGTGCAAAATTCATCTTGTTCGTATGATTTTTACAGGTTCAGTGGCATTTTCGTCTCTGACGACTGGAGTATAATTGTAATATTTTTATTTGTATTTTTAAACTATAAATACAATATTTTTTTTTAATCAAAATATTATAAATTTATTTTATTTCAACTTAAAAAACCTTTATTAGTTTGCAAGGATGGGTGAAAGTATTTATGTGCCTTAATAGAACTTTATGTGTATTTTACAATGTTCCAGTATACGCGTTCTGATATCTGAAATATTCGATTGATTTTTTGCTTATAACTGGATGAGCTTAAAGTAATAAAAAAACCGTTTTGTACGCTTTTTTAATAGTAGGTAATAAGATCATTTAAATTCATTTTTTTAAACCCTTATTTTTGAATGGATTGTAGTTGAAAGGGCTTGAACGAGTCACCAATCAAGAGTGTATGTAAACTTTGAACAGACATTTTCTTAGCCAATTTTTGTCTTATAGAAAAACAAAAAACCAAAATTTTCAGAAAAGCAAAACCTATATTTTTTTACTCTTTGAGATTTTTCGTGTCCCTAATACTTTTAAGTTATTTTGAAAAAAGGCATTTTTGAAAAAAAGGCATTTTTTCAAAATTTCAAAAAAATCTTTTTATTTTAAAACAAAATTGTTTCAAAAATAATATTTAAACCAGTCAAACTTACAGATCATGTAAACAATATGTAAATAAAGTAAATTGTAAAGCGGCAACGATTAATTTAATTTGGAGTGCTTATTAGGTTTTCACGTTTTTTTAACCAAACAAATTTTTTCAGAGTAATTGCTTAATTGTGATGACAGAAACTAAAAAAAAAATAACAAAGCTTTTTTTAAACACTTTAAAAGAGTTTTGATGAGTTTTTCCCCAAAAGTTCTTAATTTTTTGCTTATTTTACATTGAAACATTCGATTTTGAATTTGATAAATAAGAACCTACTTTTCATGAGCTATAAATTTGCTTCTACTAGGTTTATAGACTACAAAAGTATATATATTTTTTTATTCTTTTATAAGTTACGTTTTTGCTAAAACTATGTTTTTTGATAAAATACTTACTTTTTGAGTTATTAGTGAAAAACAAATGTTTGTTTGAAAAATTATTATTTTCACTCGCAAATCATACAAAAAGTATTGACTTAGTGAAAAAACTGTATGGAACAAAAGTTGCTAAGATTTAGTCAATGTATATATCTGCGGACTTATTTTGAACGTATCTTTTTTCACCCCTTAGAAGGGGCTGTTTTCACTTCCCAAGTAAAAGCAACCCTAGGCTCAAGTCCAAATGTGAAGTAGAAATGTCGTGACGAGGAAAATTACACTCCAAAACGGTCATTTACTGGCGGTGGTACATAATATATATTTTTATTACCCAATTATTAATGGCGTAAATGAGGCTTCTGCTTTTGCTATTTATTCTGTTTAGGGGTCTCTTTCTAGATATTATACAAAGTTCTTAATTTCGGTAGTTTCTCGTAGTCTTTTAGTGTTGCTGTTTTTTGTAGTTTCTAGATTGTATGTCATTATTAGGTCTCGGTTCTGTCATATTGATTTCACTGTTTTAGTTCGGTAGTCTACAGTTTATATATTCCACTTACATCTATACAGCGAAGATAAGAAGAGACTAACAGCAAATATTAGAATGGATAGGATTCATTTCCTGAACATCATCGGAGTATACGGCCCAGAAAATTAAGCAAAAACATAACGAGGGTGGTAAAAACGAAAATGGAGAACTGATGATAAACTTCTGCACGAATAACGAACTTAGAATAAACAACACTTTTTTGACCACAAATATACATTTAATATCACCCGTGAACAAAGATCTACGATAGAGTATGTTATAACGAACAGAGATATACATCCATTGAAAATAATCGACGTAAGATGCCTCAATTCAGCAGATGTAGGTAGCGACCAAGACCTCATCATCCAGCCTCAAGAGTCCACTGCTGAACACAGGTCTCTTTCTCATGTTTCCAACCCCGTCTATCTTGCGCCGCTCTTATCCAGTTTTTATTAAGTCTTCTTAAAAGTCCATTTTGTAGGTGGTCGACCTACGCTTCTCTTGTCTTCCCTTGGCCTCCATTCCAATAACCTCTTTGTCCATCGCCCATCTGTCATTCTGGCTATGTGTCCTGCCCATCCCCATTTTAGTCTGGCTATCTTCTCGATGATGTCAGTCACTCCGGTTCTTCTCCTGATGTCTTTGTTTGTTATTCTGTCTCGGAGAGTTATTCCTAACATGGACCGCTCCATTCTTCTCTGCGTGACTCTCAGTTTGGTAGCTGCTGCTTTTGTTAAGGTAAGTGTTTCTGCTCCGTACGTCAAGACTGGGAGGACGCACTGATCAAATACCCTTCTCTTTAAGCATGTGGGCAGCTCACTTTTAAAAATTTCTCTCAGTTTTCCAAATGCTGCCCACTCAAGGCCGACT